ACTTAGCTGGGTTCCTCCAAAGCCAACTTAAGAGAAAAATCCATGTGTAAATGATGTATAAAGCCATGCTCCCTGCAGAAGCAACCATAAAGTTGGGGATAATGGGAGGAAAGGTAAATTTCTGAAGAGAGTGGGCAATTCCAGGCAAGGAACCTGTGTTCTGCAGCTTAAACTGTGTACTTTAATGAGGACAATGAGGCCCGGCATTCCCGTGGTCATGAGAGAGACCGTCAAGCCAGCAGAAGAAGGAATAGAGCAGAGTTCAGAGAGCAATGAGGAGATGAGGCCAGAAAGGGCCTGGCAGCATGGGAGCCCATGGGACACTGGGGTAAGACCAGACAGAGGTTACAGCTGCCCCTGGGGAGAACAAATGGAAAAGAAAAAGCAGTGGGAGAATGGGCTGTCACCATAGACAGAGAGAAATAAGAAGTGAGTGCAGCTCAGAGCCATAGAAGTGATTACCTCTGCACCCGGAGCGTGAAGTCCAGCAGAACCATTTGCTGAAAGGGAGCTTTCGTTTGATCTTCTTGGGTTTTGCAACACTGGAGGCATCAATGTTGCCAGGCACTTGATGCCACTGAGTGGTTGATGAGCCTTCGAGTGGATCATCTTCCATCTGCGGAGGGTTCTTCATCGCAATGGAGGGGGCTAAAACCAGCTCTGAAAATAAAACACAGCCAATGGCATCCACGATCTTACTGTGATTTCCTCTTCCACCCAAAGGACATCAAATCACGAATGGGGCCTTGGACAAGAAAGTCCAAAGGGGGAGGGGAAGCCAACAGAGTAACTTTAATATATGTTTTTGTTGATCTTTCTTACATTACTCAGTAATGACAAGTGTGCCAGGAGGCAAGGGCACTCCTGATTTACAAAAATATTCAGGAAACTAAAGATTAAGAAACACAAATAGCTTCAGGGTAGATATGGCCAAAGCAAGGGAATCACACTGTATGTAGGCTGTGCTTTGGGGAGGGAAGAGATTGTAAGAGTGAAAGTTAAATCAGAGCTGAGTCCAAACAGGATGGGGGGTGGAAGGGCCTGGCAGGGTGGCAGCCCATGGGACACAGAGGTGAGACCAGACAGACCCTTACAGCAGCTGATGGGAAAAGAACCAGGGAAGACTAAACCTGAAGAATTTACAAAACGTGCATCATTATATGATCTATTGCACATATATATACACACTACGTAGCATATACACCAAATGTACATAATATACATAGCAAATGGTGTAAATGCATATATCTGTAGAAATTAATCTAATGAAAAAATAATATATAGAGATTTGAGAGATATTTAATGTAACAATATAATTAGTATTCTCTTCTATTGAAATTTAAAAAATAATAGAAACATGAGAAGAATGAGAAAAGAAGAGGTGTGCAGAGAAAACAACTGAGCTGTTAGACAGCAGGGAGAAATGGACCAAGGAAAACCGTGAATGAGGCACCAGGCATTCACTCTTTGCTCTTACTGGGAGCCTTGTTCTGCTCTGGGACTCCAGGGAATGTGGGCAAAACAGCATACGTCTGAGCCAGTGAGTTCAGGCTTGGCTGACGGTGTAAGAATCCATAGTCAAACAAAGGAGAATGTGGTGGGAAAAAATCAGTTTAAGTTAGTTACATGGCACATGTAAGGGACGGCACATTCCTGAACACCCGCTCAGCGCCTTTCAGGTATCCTTTCCACAGATCCAAATGGGGCTCATTATCTCATGTGACCCTCCCTCCTCCTGAGGACAGGGGTCTCTGTATCCTCAGCTGAGGGCTCCAGGAGGAGATATTGCCTGGGACAAGCATGAGAATGAACAGGATCCAGGGCGTTAAGGAATCTGAGCGGAAGTGGATCCCTGTGAGAAGGAAACTGAGGACATGGCCGAGGGCATGAGTGGAGATGACCAACTAAATGGGTTTTCATAAGAGACAGATGTGAACACTTTCCGTGTGAAAATTGCCCTTTGTTTTCAAATCAAGCCCTTCTCTGCAGGGAAAGCTTGGGCAGAGCAGATACACACTGACCCATTGCTTGGGTCAGGGCTGGGCCACTGTGCACACTATTCACACATTATTGTCGAGAAGCCAACAACAGGAAGCATTCTTGTGTAATCTGAAGGGCGCATTCATTCATCTTGGCCCAGCTGCATGGATGGAATGTGCTTTCTCCTGGCCCATGTTCCTGATGGCAGGGCTGGTCACATCAACAGGCATCTCAGTTCTGAGACATGTTTCAGAGCAGTGTCTCTTTCTTTTTGTAGAAGACCATTCTGGATGGTGTGTTCCTGAGATGCAGCTCCACAGCTTTTACAGGGACCTAAACATGGCCAGTTGAGAGTTGAAACCCTGGGATGGGGAGGTGGGGAGAGACTAGGATCATTTATTCCCTGAGTGCTTTTCCAAGGGAGAGCCTGCTGGAGCTGTAGGTCCCCCTGAGAGACTGAAGGAGCCACTGATTCTGCTGACCGACAGAGTGCACAGAGGTAATCCTTCTTGAGAAATCTGTGCCAGGGACTACAAGACTTCTTTACCCTAGACCAGCAACTTATTTCTGTTTCAGCTTGACTTTATTGGAAAATAATTTCTACAAAGGAAAGAGGATGTGCACGCATCGTGGCTTAGTCCCTGACAGAACCCCCACAGAGAAATGACAGAGACTGGGCCATGAAGTCAGGCAGACAAAAGGACCATGCTCTCACCATGACTAGTCGGGCCATCCTGGGCAAGTGAAGGAAACTTTTTATAGCCTCAGCATCCTCAGGTCTAACATGGAGATGCCACTGCCCCCTTGGGAGCATTCCTTCAGCTCTGAATGTTTATAGCAGGATAGAGCTGTTTGGCAAGGGGCAGGGCATATGCATATGCAAGATCAAAGAGTATTTTGTTTGTTTAATGAATCACTGTCATCACAGAAAACTATTTGCTTTCTCAAACTCAGGGAGAAATGCAAAAGAGGAAGGGATGGTCCAGGTAGGAAAGGCACTCACTGACTGAAACAGAATAGAGACCAACATTTTCATTGCTAGTTTCTTTCTTTGAGTGAGTGTGTGTGTGGATGTGTTTGTGTCTGGTTTTGTGTGAGTGTATGTGTGTGACACAGGTCTCACCTTGTTGCTCAGGCTGGAGTGCAGTGGTACAATGATATGCACTGCAGCCTCAATTTCCCAGGCTCAGTGATTCTTCCACCACAGCCTCCCATAAAGCTGGAAGCACAGGTGTGTGTCACCATGCCTTGCTAATTTTTCATAGGGACATGTTTTTGTAGTGTTGCCCACGCTGGTCTCAAACTACTCAGCTCAAGCAATCTACCTGCCTCAGCCTCCCAAAGTGCTGGAATTACAGGCATGAGCCACTGCACCTGGCACTCTTGCTAATTTTATTACAACATTATCAGATATACTGGGGTACATCACAGAGTTACCTGCTCCTACTAGAAAATAGATTGATGGTTGAAACTCCCAACAATCCACATGAAACTCCCAGGATGGAAGTTAAAAAAAATACAATGAGCAAGAAGAAATGAAAATCGGAATTTTTCTCTACATATCCTGTGAAGCTTCCACACCAAAGGTCACTTGCTCAGCGGAAGGGTTTTTTGGACATCATGAGGATAGAAATCACTCTGCTTTGCTCATCAGTTAGGCCAGTACCCCGTGAGGGACACTCATTCTCAACGGTTTTCATGAGAATATAGCACTGAGACCAAATCACGATTCAAACAACAAGCCCACACATGGAAAAAGCCACTGGAGCTCTGCAGAGCATGCAAGCCTGGACCTGAGTAAAGGAAGGGACGCTGGACTGCGTCAGTGGAGGGAGGTCACCTCCCAGCAGGTAGAGTCGCAGTCCCCAACCTTTTGGGCACCAGCATCCGGTTTCATGGAAGACAATTTTTCTGCATCCAGGGTAGAGGGGATGGTTTTCGAATGATTCAATCACATTACATATTTTGTGTACTTTATTTCTATGATATTTCCATTACTCCACACACTACACTGTGACCTCCACAATGTGTAATGTGCTGTGTTTCTTCCTCTTTAGAATAAGAGTCTGTGCCCCAGGAAGCAGGACTTCCCTCTCACCAGGGTACTTCCTGCTCTTGATGCCCTCACGTATAGATGCCACACTTACCGTTAGGAGCAGTCTCCTCTTTAAGCTCTTTAGAGCAGGTACTCTGTACTGTCACCACGTTTCCCCCAGGGTCCCCAGAACAGAGATTTGCCTACTGGGTCTCAAAGAAGCTAAAACTGAATGGCAGTTTTTTGGTCCCAGACATTTACCAACAGACTACAAGTTATTTGTCTGCAGGATCTTACAGGGCACAGAAAGGATTCTCTTAAATGTGATATAGCCTCTTGCTGAGGAAAGTAAGTGCCTCTGTGTCTGTGTGAGAGTCAGTAAGTAGCATTTCAACTCTAGCCCCACCTCACACCGGACTGCTAACGTGGAAGGGTTGCTAAACACATCGTGCCTCCATTTTCCATCCTTAACACAATGAAGTTAAAATACCCATTTCTATTTTCCTAGAACTAAAGAAAGGATGAAATTAATTTAGATGAAGGGACCATTCAGTATCTCAGAGAGAAGCAGGTGCTTAGTCATCACTTTTGTGATGATGAATCTATAGAACTTACTGTATCTCTTCAGTTGCTTGGCCAGAGAGTAGACAGTAGCTTGACTTACAAGAAATTTCTCTTTGAGGTCTTGGAACTGCTGTTGGCTCTGTGCCAGCTGGGAGCACTGTAAGGCCATTTGACTTGCTGGGAGCTCAGACACGCCCATCCCTCTCCCTGCCTGAAAATTACGTCACCGGAATACGCCCATTATCTAGCTCCGCCTTGGAAATCCCCTCTGAACTCAGCACTAAGCTCTGCACTCCGCACCTAGCCTGCTCACCAGAAATCCTGCCCGCCTACCAATAGCAGCTTGCTACGTCCATGTCCTGTTTGTCCACAGGCAATCAGAACGCCTTCCCTCCCTGTAAAGCCTCATGCCTAAGAGAGGTCAGGCATAACTTCTCTGGCCTCTTTCCCAGGACCACAGAACCTCACCCAAGAGCCGAATAAATTGGCGTCTAATTGTTCTCATGCAGGCTTCAGTTTCCTCATTTTAAACTCGGCAATAAACCTCACAAGAGAATAACCCTTACAACACAATTCCTGGTTGATTTATAGGATGTTCATTTCTGCCCTCTCCCTGGATAAATGTCCAGCAGATACCACATGCTGACGTTGGTGGCAGAAGAGGTATAACAGGGACTAGGGAGAAGAAACCAAAACACATGATGGGTCAAAAACAAGTGAAATCAAATAGGGTTAGTCAGCACTGAGGGATGACAACAGCTGGGATGGTTGACTTACGGTTAAGAAGAACTCCACCAATACCACAGAGTACTTAATCGCCAAAACAAAATTTAGAATACCAGAGCTCAGAGCCGAAGGCACTGCCTGTAGCTCAGACTCTACAAGAGTGAGGGAGGTTAGCAGCCGGTATCCCGGGTAACCATCTGCAGTCACAATAACAGAATTAGAAGGTGGGTGTGTCATGAAATCTTAGGAGCCCTGCATTCCAATTGCCCAGGCTGTGCTGAAACCAAGGCCCCCTGATCTCCCCTGAGAGTCACAGATGGGGATTATTTCCTCAGCAGTCCCTCTCAGTATTTGCTTACCCTTGTGACAGTGCTGCAGACTCACCTCTATCTTAATATGTCTAAGCGCATTCCTCTGTCCATCTCTTGTGTGTATAAAATCATGGAGACAGTTTCCCAGAAGGTTATATTTTCTTAGTGGTCTTCAGGAAGTCACCCCACCTTCTCTAAGTTAAAACAGATCTTAAGGCTTTTCCACACATGAAAGATGTCAGACTTTTAGACTGCCATGATATCTTCTGTGTTCTGCATTTTTTATTTCTGTACCTACTGAAAAGTTAATGAATAATTTAAAAATATTTTCTCCCCTGACTCAGTGTTCTCCTCGCTGCATCCCATTGTTATGTTGATTTCTTTTCTCTCACTGAGGCAGCATCTTGGCTTTTCATTACGCTGATGACCAGTTCACATCCCTAAGTGCAAAGCTCCTCCTCTATCTGTGGGTTCATTTGTTTCTTTGATGTCACTGACACTTTTTTCATACTTGTCACTTATCAATATCATTCTGTCTCACAAGAGCTCTTTTCAAGGGATCAAGTGATCAAAATCATTTGTGTATATCCCCTGAAAACGTGTGTGACCATAGACTTTGGGAAGTCTTGTAAACCTGATGCTATTTTGTTGTTTGCATTTAGTTTTCCCATGTATTGAAAGGAAAAGGAACAGGGCCATGAACAGTTCTTATGGAATATTATTGGAGATAAAACGCACACACACACAAACTTGCTATAACACCATTGATGTGTTGTTGCCTTCCCCCAGCAGAAACTGGCAAGATCATGGTGATGGTCAGGGTGGTTGATGATGTTCATTATCTCTCACTGTGACCTGGTCTTGCTCCTCCACTTACCCTTGTGCTGCTGAAGCATCTCCACACACCGTCCAATTCCGTCAGTAATTGGGGCTCCTCTCAAAGCTCCCTGAAATGAGTCCAGGTCTCAGGATGTCAGACACATTCCAGATACAAAAGCAACCCACACCGCAGAGCCACTGAACTCCAGCCTGGGTGACAGAGCAAGACTCTGACTGGTCAAGGTTTTTTGTGAATGCGCCGACACTACGGGGGCAGAAATGTTCTGTGGTCTGGACTCACTGCTGCAGGACTTGCCCTGGGACCTTCTTACCAAGAGCATCGGTGGAGCCTCCACTTCCAATGTCACTGTCGCCATGACTGCTAAGACACTAGGCCTGCTGGTGGACAAAGAAGGTGTCCTCGGCAATTTCACCAATGAGAAATATCATGAAATGGCCTCTCACCTTCAGCGTTCCCAGTGCTGACCTCTGCATGGGCTGCGGGACAGGCTAGACGGACAGACACCTCCCCCTACCCATACCCCTCCTGTGTGTGGTTGGAAAACTTTTTTGTTTTGCAGAATTGGGTATTTTTTCCTGAGTAAAAAAGATTCTACTAAAAAAAGTTAAATAACCGCACATATGTGGGCATATCATTTGAATCTGTATTCTTTGACTTCGATATATTTATGAATACTCACACCGGTCCTATTGTTCTGAAATTACTGTAGCTTTGAAATCAGGTTTAAAATCTAGCAGAGCAAGTCCTCCAACCTATTGCTTCTTCAAGACCAACTTGCCTATTCTAGGTTCTTCGATTTTCAAATACATTTTGAAACAAGCTTTTAAATTTCTCTAAAATCTCCTACTAGAAATATTAATCAGAATTGTGTTGCTGTAATATGCTAACCAAATTGAGTCTTTTAGTCAATGAACATGATATGTATTTCTCTTCTTGAATTTCTCTCACCAATTACTTTTAGGGGACTTGTACCTGCTTCATTCAAGTCCAAGGCTCTAGAATGCAAAGTCCGGGCTCCTCCAAAGCACTTCTCTTGCTCTGAGACATTAGGTGTGGCCTGTGGTTGCCAGCACCATCTTTGCAGAGAGGCCTCCCCTAGTCCTGGTGACACCACTGGCCTGGTTGGGACCAGGGGTTACCTCCGATCATTTCCCTGTGTGTCATAAAGACATAATAGTATTCAAGCCCAGTATGCCGTGCTCACTGAAATAACCGAAACGCACACCCTGCACAGTATGGTTCCTGTTAAAAACTCTGCTCATATTAGTTCTTGGGATATGTACTGACAAAAACTAATTTTTTTTCAATTGTGTAATACAATATGGAGAAGTTGAATAAAACATAGGTATAAATGCTTCCATCTGTTAACATGTGAGCACTAGCTAGCACTAAATACCAGCTTCCAGAACCTTCCCACATGCCCCTTCCTCACCACAGACCCCTCCTACCCTTCGCAACTACCACTACCTGATTTTCATGATGTTTGGTTCTTTATAATTTTCTGCTTCTCATGCCCCCATAATGGATCTAGGTTTTAACCTGTAATCGTACATATATATTTTCTTATGCTTGGCTTTTTTTTTCACTAAATGTTATGGATTTAACAGTCATCACTAATTCATCCACTTTCATTGCCAATGAAATATACCATAATCTGTTTATGCATATACTTGATGATGGGCCTCTGGGCTGTTTCCCGTTTGTGGCTTACGCACTGCTGTGGTCATTCATGTAAGATGTCCAGGGGCATGGGAGCACCCATGTCCCTGCGTTACACACAAGGAATGGAATTCCTGTCCCTCTGTTTCACTGATCTAAGCCTTTTTGAGGTTAGGAAAAAATTGGGCTGGGTATAGTGGCACACACCACAGTCCCAGCTACTCAGGAGGCTGAGGTGGGAAGATTGTTTGAGACCTGAAGTTCGAGGCTGCAGTGAGCTATAATCACATCATTGCATGCCAGCCTGGGAGAAAGAGTGAGAGCCCAACCCCCTCAAAAAATAATAAAACAGGAATGTGAAAGTCCCCATAATCAAGGGAAGGGAAAAGGGAGGAAGGGATGAGAAGCTGTAGAAAGAAAGGAGGCTGGGGGTGCTTGACCAGGGCACAGAGTAGGGTCGGGGGCATTCCAGAGAAAGGGTCTGCCATTCTGAGGGTGACAAAAGAACCACCTTGATGGTTAGCTCATCCCCCACCTCCTCCTCCCTGCTCTTCCACATGTGCCTCCTTGGCCCTTTGCTCATCCATCTCCGCCTCCCGCTTCTTGCCATCCTGCTCCATCTTGTCCTATCTGGTTAATGCTTCTCCTCCACTCCCCCAGCTTCATCCCTCTAAAGCACACAGCCACAGGCTCTGGAGCACTGGAAGCTTTGCCCAGTCTGAGAGAAACACGAGGAAATATTTTCCAGCAGCAGCAGAAATGCGAAAGCACCTTTCTCTGGCCAGGATGTTTTTGAGGAAAGCAAGTAAGATTGCTTCGCCTGAGGCTCGGAGCCTCCACAGCCAAATCCCTCAGCCTGGGCAGTGCAGGCCTTAGGCCGACCCCTGGGATGGTGTGACCAAAAGTCAGGAACCTCTGGATATGCAGGGCTAACATCTGCCACAATCTTCCCGGAACTGAAACCACCAGGCATCTTGTGACATTACAGAGTTCCAAGGGAAAGCACCATGGCACCCTTTGTGGCCTCTGTGGGGACTGCAAACAGAGAGTCCTAGGGACCCTCCTGGCCCTTGAAACTGTATAGGACAAAAGAGTAGGAACAACTTATTCTTTAAGTACAGTAGGCACACAAGCATATTTTAATTTCTTTTAAAATCAGAGGGAAATGGAAGAAATCAGCAGGTTTAGTGCAAGTCCTTTGTTCTCAGTGGTCTCTAACAAGGAACATCCTCCTCCAGGTAAGGGGTCCTACCTGGAAGGCCCAGAGTGGAGTTCCTTCAGCTCTAGCAGTTCATCCTCTGTTCATCTTTCCTCTTTTTCATGCTGGAGGATTTCAGAGCTCAGGGCAAGAGTGTTTTTGAAGATCACAGTTGCTGCTTGTGTTAGGAGACATGAGGAAGAATTGCATTATGCATCCCATCAATGGCCCAATTTTCTCCCAGCCTACATGGATGAGCTGAAGTGAAATAACAGTTTAAGGAGGCCAAGTCACCAAAGAGGTTTCTATGGCCAAGGCAGCACTAGCGCAGCTCCTAAGAGAAACTCAGCATCACCACCAGGCAGCTACATCCTCAGCTCCATCGGCGCTGGAGTGTCATGGGTGAGAGGAAGGGAGAGATATAGCCATGAGGGGGAGGTGCAGGAACCCAAGAGTGTGTGAGGAGAAACAGAAAGAAACAGTGAATACAACTATTGAAAACAAAGGTGTTTTAAGTTATGTCAAGAATCAGGAAGCTGTGATGACCTCCCTGTTGAAACAGAGTCCCTCGAGATGCCTCTCACCTGTCAGGAAGCCTCACAAGACCCCACATCACCATAGAGCTGTTGACCATGAACACAAGGTTCAGCAGGCCAGAGCTCCAAGCCATGTGACTTCCCCCTGAAAATCACATTGTGATGATTTATGAGGAACACTAATGAAATTAAGCTTATCACATATCATATATTGAGCAATTATGTACCAAGCTTATTAAAATTCATCACAGTCCTAGCCTGTAATTGCTCAGTGGGAATTCATCACAGTCCTAGCCCATAATTGCTCAGTGGGTAAAAGTTAATTTTTAGAGTGATGAATTATCTTTGAATTACTGGTACAATATGAACTAATTTCTCAATGGGATAAATAGAGGCAGTATAAATAACTCTGTATAAAACTTTTAATAATAAATATAAAAATCATCCACTTCCCAGATAAATATAAAAGATAATTCATTAAGAACAAAGAGGATGGCTCA